CCCCCCAACAGTAAAAAATAAATAAATAATAAAAAAATAAAAAATTATGAAAAAAATAAGAAATTTTAAAAATGATTTTAAAAAAGTGAAAACAGCCCCCCTGCCCCCCCTCACACACACATACGTATTATTAGACATGTGCGAAGACTAAAAATTAATTTCAGATGAAATGAACGAAAACTAAAAAAGTTTTCATTCGTTTCAAACAAAACACATTTTTCTGCTATTTTGGATTCAGCCGCTGGCGTGTTCTGGAGGCGGGGTGCATGACGTCATATAACACCGCACGTGTTGGGGCGCCGCCATCTTGGTGTATATCTAGGTATACACCAAGATGGTGGGGCCAATATCGGCGTGTGAGGTCACCTGACGCCACGCATGCATGGCGTCATGTAACGTCACGCTCCCCGCCTCCAAGATGGCGGCACGCATTCACAGGACACGCCGGGGGCCAACATGGCCGCCGCACATTCTCAAACAAATTATTATTATGCGCCGGAATACATTTCTCGTATATTGGGACATATAGTGATTCATAGTGAGTCGGGGTCTGTGTTCTATTTTCTATTTTTACTTTTCTAGATGCGCTGACTGGAAGGAAGGGGTCGGCATGACAACCGGACACTCCATTGTTATAGACTCCATTGTAGTGACATTTATTGTTTACCTTCTGTTGTTTTATTCGATGAGAAGACTTCTATTGTGCCGACAAGTTTAATACCTCTTAATAAAAGTTTTATTTTTATCACACTTTGTAATATGTTTCTTTGCGGCTTCACAAAATAGGAGTCTTTAAAAGGAGAACTATGAGGGGGGAGGGGGAGGGGCTTCTCACTCACCTCATAGCTCTAGCCGACCTGTGACAATGAGACTGTCACAGGTCGGCTCAGTAGATCGGGAGGTGAGTGAACACATACCGGCGCTCGCTCACCTCTCGATCCTGTCACGGCTCTCTGCCATGACAGGGGGAGGGGCTGGATTCCCCCCTCTGATCCGCCAGCGCTGACTGGCGGAACGGACGGGGGAGGGTACAGCCTCTAGATAGGCAGAGCCAGCTGTCACTCACGCAGCTCGGCGGGTCTCGTCATCTACGTCGGGATCTGCTCCGGCTGCGGCGTCTCAGTATACCGCGAGCTGTAGCTCCCTATATACTGAGCCTAGGGTGACGGGAGGACGCTAGTTTGTGTCCTCCCGTTACCCTGAGAACTATGGGGGAAAAGCCCCGACCTCATAGTTCTCCTTTAAATGGTGCGGATATTGGGGAAAATGGGTGTGCCCACTAAAGGGCGTGGTCACTGAGGGGCACTGTAAAGCTTTCTCACACAGGGTGCCTAAAAGGCCTAAGGCCGGCCCTGTCCATAGGGTTGAGGTCGGGGCTCTGGTGTGGAGGAACTTGAGTGGTCTCCGCAAACTGGTCACACCGTGTCTGTATGGAGCTGGCTTTGTACACGGGGGACAGTCATGGGGGGACAGAAAAGGGTCTTCACCAAACTGTGACCACAAGGCTGGAAGAGCCCAATTGTCTACAATGTCTTTGTATGATGGAGGATGAACGGGACCTCCACTGGAGACATCTGAACCCCATCATCTGGAAGGGGATCCACATATTTTTAGCCATATAGGTAGGGGTGATGGTCAGGGGTCATTCATGTTGGTCAGGGGTCACCTCACTGTTGGAGATGGAAGCTCATCGTACGCTTTATATGCATCATCTTTTTAAATAAACCCTCTTCAGGTACCAATGTTGGATGGGTAGATCCGGCTCACAATTGCAATTTACACCAAAGGTGATCAGTAGGGATGAGGTCGGGGCTCTGTACAGGACACTCGAGTTCCTCCACCAAGCTGGTCACCCCATGTCTGTATGGAGCGGGCTTTGTACACGGGGGACAGTCATGGGGGGGGGGCAGAAAAGGGTCTTCACCAAACTGTGACCACAAGGCTGGAAGAGGACAATTGTCTCCAATGTTTTTGTATGATGGAGGATGAACGGGACCTTCACTGGAGATACGTAATTATTTGGAAGGGTTTCAAACCACCCCAATAGTGTTCAGTAGGGATGAGGTCAGGGCTCTGTGCAGGACACTCAAGTTCTACAAAACAGTCTCCAGTCTCCTGGGAAGGTGTTCCACAAGATTTTGGAGGGTGTCTGTGGGAATTGTTGCCTATTTGTGAGGTCAGGTTGAGTGAGAAGACCTGGTTAGCCTTCCATATTATCCCAAAGGTGTTCAGTAGGGTTGAGGTCAGGGCTCTGTGCAGGACACTCGAGTTCCTCCACCAAGCCGGTCACACAATGCCGGCACATTGGTCCCCCATAGACTTCTACGGGCCATGTCCCGAGGCTAGAGAGGCGCATTTGTCTCCGATGTCTTATGTAGTAATTACAGACCCTTCACTGACTGGAGGCACCTGAACTCCATCACTTGAAGGGTGGATGGGTGGATGGGGGGGGCACATACTTTTGGTCTTATAGTGTAAATCTTATTAATGGAAAACCTTCATTAAACCCAACCTGGGTCCATATGGTTCCGTGCACCTGATGGATGGTCTCACCTTACTGTCCCTCTCTAGTTCATTCTTCAACCACTCGAAGTCGCTGTACCTCCTCCGGACACAGGAATCCTTCGTCTTGAAGATCGGAAGGTTCGTCTAGAAGAAGAAGAAGAAGAACATTGGGGTCAGTATTAGATTTGCGCACAGTCGCCGCCGCACGGATATGAAACACGCCGGAACATGGATGATCTATGGACTGGACATCTCCAGGACCATCGTCTCACCAGCAGCTGATTGTGTGACCACCAACGAGGGGGCAACCAAGAAAAAGGGTTAAAGCAGAACTCCGGCCAGGGGAAAAAAAAAAAACTGTTACCAGTAGGTCTTGTAATAGGACCACTTGTGTGCTGTATATTTTGGGGCCCTGAATGGTTCTGTGTACTCTGCGGGCACTCCGTAAACATCTTCATTTCCCCGCCATAGACTTCCATGGGGCCGCCTCCTGATACAGGAAACCCCTGGGGGCAGTCTGGGGGTATTAGCTGTGCAGGTGCAGCCATGAGAAAGAGATTTTGGAAAATGTGTGCAGGCCGCGGCTGTCACATTAGTTCAGGGGTCAAGTGGGGTAGAAAAAGGAGGGGGGGGTAGAAAGAGGA